TGAGTCCCAAGCAAAGCACCCAGCTCCAGAGGTGGTCCGCCAAGAACTGAGGAGGTGGAGAGCAAGGCAAAGGGGAAACCCAGCTAAATCGGCTTGCACAACCACTACCTGTTTTACACCAGGCAAGGCACTTGCTCCGTGACTGATCATGTCTTCACTGGCCTGAAGAGGACAGTCCTGCCTGACGATAATACCAGCTCTTGTAGAGGCACCTAGGTGTTATTTAAAAACACAGCAGCCTTCTGAGGGTGGATCCTCTTAAATGAAAGTTCCCTTGGATCTGCTACATTCCTTGATGGGTTTGCATGTATCCGTGAAACAAGCGCCTGGAAACAGCAGAGTGGCTCTGCACTGTTAACCTTAAAAATAAAACCGCCAGTTATTTTACCAGCAAAAGATGGATTTATTCGGGAACAGCAAAGACTTCCAAGCTGGGATAAACCAACTATGGGAACAAAGGAGAGGTGTCGGCTTTTATAGAGGAAAGCGCAAGTCGGGAACGCTGTTACAAACAAGTCCATTGGAGGAAACTGGGGGGGGTGGGAAGTATCATGGCCTCTCATTGGCTGAGCTGTGCGGATCTCCCATTGGTTGGGCTGTTGCTGGCGGGAAAGGAGGTAAGCCTTTTTTCCTCCGTTCGGGATAGTCAAGTAGTATCCCTGTGCAAGGTCCTCTCTTCCTGTTGGATTTGCAGTTGACAAGGAGTGGTTCGTGGGTAGGGTGCGAGAACACCCGGCCGGACCTCCTGACTCCATTTTAGCGAGGTTTCCCTTTATTAATTTTCACTGCACGGTAATGAGGGTGATTGGAAGGCAGTGGTGAAGGGATGGAAGCCGAGGAGGCGCAGGGTTGGTGGGGGACTGGAGGCTTAGAAGAGCACAAAAGCCAATTATTTTACAATCTTTGGTGGTGGGTGATCTAGGTCTTTTAAAGACGGGGAGATGTATGGGGCGCCTGGATGGCTCAGTCAGTAGAGTGTCTGACTCTCGGTTTTGGCTCAAGTCATGATCTTGGGTCCCAGGATCGAGCCCAGAGTCAGGCTCTGTGCTCAGTGGGGAGTCTGCTGGAGATTCTCTCTCCCTCTACCCCTCCCCTGGCTCACAGATGCGCTCTCTCAAAATCTTAAAAAAATAAAAAAACAGGGAGATGTATGAATATCTACATTGATATGTATCAAGAGATATATTCAGAGTAATCACACACACGAGTTCTCTTGAAGTTGTTCACCTTGTTATAAACTTCCTCCACCCACCCCCATAAAGTTTTCTTCCTTTAGAGGGTTGCTTGGGGTTTCAATGTGGGAGTTAAGGAAGGGGTGGTGAATGGCCCAGGGCCAGCAGTGAGGGAGGAGCTAGGCGACTTGGAGCCAGAACATCCCAGAGATCAGAAGCCTCCCAGAAACCTTGGCCCTGGCTTTGGGGGACAGAGGAGAAATGCACAAGTGCACGTCTCACCAGCATTCCAGGACAACTGAGCTCTGGGGGTCCAGCCCCACACCACGAGGCTTAGCAACAGCAGGCTGTGTGCACTCAGCCTCCTAGTCACATCCACTGAGTCGCTGAGCCCTCACGCCTGCTGGCCTCAGTCATGCTCCTCCTGCCCAAACACCACAAAGGAGACAAGAATTGGTTCTTTTTTTGTCCAGTCTTTATTTACAGCAAAGTACATAGTATGTGGTCATTTTTGTAACTACTAACAATAAAGGCAGGGTGGTAGAAAGGAGGAAGAGCAAGCATCTGAAAGAAAGAAAAAAGCCTACGTCTTTATTTAGCTACTCACCCTGTTCCTGAGGCAGTCATCACCTCTAAGAGCAGCAAGGAAGCTGATCTGAACACCAGCCACCTGGCCTAAGGAGGGCAGCACAGGGCCCAGAGACAAAAGATCAAAGAAGGGGACTCTGAGCTCCAGACTGACCCCAATGCTTTTCCCAACCTATCTCTGCCTCGTTGTACCTGACACCAAGCCTGTTTCCCCCACTCCACCCTGAGACAGGGTAAAAGGCAGTTAGGGAAGCCCAGCGGGTCCTCCCCAGCAGCAGAGTCCTGCAATCCAGGACCTGTCCTAGCCTGCCTAACCCACCGCGGGTCCTTGGTGCTGGAATCATTGAGAGGCAGCTGCGAGACTCCAGAGCAGAAGAAAATACCGCCCTGCCAGGGACCACTACTTCCCTCCGCTGGCCTTGGGTGCTAGCCCAGGTCAAGGCTGCTAGATCAAGGGTGCTGAACAAGGACAGCGAAGGAGGTGATACAAACCGACTGGGCTCCAGGCCCTCCTGTTTCCCAACCACTCTGAGCAGCATGCAAGCCTTCAGCCTGACCTAGTAGCCTCATGAGAGACTGGCAGTCTGCCCTGGGCACGGAGGCAAGTGTTCAGTGCCGAGGCAAGGAGAGGCAGGACAGCGGCATCCACATGACCACTGGGCAGCCAAGACCAGAGTGGGTTGTTGGAGGAATGATGGGCTCTGAAGGATGAACTGGAGTCCTTCCCCTACCACCCTCCCCTGGCCTGTTCTTTGGGGATCCCCTTGTCTAACCACTGCCTCTTCGAGGGCCTACCCCATCCACTCCAAACCAAAGTTCCAAACAGTTGTGATCTCCTCCTACAGAATCCAATCTCTCTGCCCCTACTGGCCTCAGGCTGCCCAAGAAAAAAACCTGGGTCAGCACAAGTTCCATTAGCATGAAGGAGTGTGCGGTCTTCCCATGACACAAAGCTTGGATGCTTGTTCCCTAAACACTTGGTCTATGGGTAATACCTGGGGGGGCGGGGGGGGGGGAGAGAAGCAAGCACCATTGGGCAGCTCTTAAGACCCAGGACTCCCGTGCACACATGACCAACATTACCCCACCCTGCTTGTTGGTACCTCCCCCCCTGGACTGCAGAGAGGACCCAGAGGACTCCGGTCATGGTTTCTGGCCTAATGATCCTACTGCTGACTCTCCAGTGGAATCAGAGATCTAATGACTCTCAAAATACCAAGTCCAGATTTGTCCTATAGAAAGCTCAAGTTCAGACAGTTGGCTAAATGCTGAGGGGGCCACGCAGGGGCGGAGCTTCTCATCCCTTCCTTGCCCCAGACAGTGTGTCACAGAACCAAGGGAGTTGTCAGCGTTGCCCAGTGAGCTCAGCCCAGTGCCCCAAGCCAAGCCACCAAGAATTGGTGACGGTGTTTACCAGGAGGCAAGGCAGCCCTAGAGCCTTTTCCCAGCTAGGACTGGGCTACTCAGAGACACTGAAGGCTTGGTCCCAACACCACAGGTAGATGAGGAAGCAGCTAAGGACGTCAAGGCTCAGAGACGAGAAGACTCCATTTTCCAAGGCAGTGGGACAGACAGCCAAGGCACTAAATGGTTTGGCACCTGGGAGCTTCAAGTAAAGTTGAATGTGCTACCCACCGAAAGGCCAAGGCTCCCCCAGACAGGGGTGGGCTGCCCCTGAGCACAGAGAGGCCCCATCAAGGCCAGAGGCCTTGAGTCCTCAGGATCCTAACCCAGGCCTGCCACCCACCCTTCATCTCAGAACCATGCAAGGCATGACGAGAAAGAGAATATTGATTCTGAAGCACTCCAGAACGTATTTATCCCAGTGAGTACCGGCCTCAGACGTAGGCACCTCAGGAGCCTTCCCTTGCTCCAACCCTAGCAAGCCCCCTCCAGAGCCTGCAGCTGTCTCCGCAACGTCTCGGGGGTGGCAAAGCTCTGCCAGGGAGGAGGTTTGACTTCTTGAAACGGCCAGAGTGAGAGTCACATTGAGTCCAGAAAGGGGGAATCAAAACTGGATGGCGGTTGAGTCTGAGGGACAATTCAGTGTGACTAGAGAGACATGGTGTCAGATGTACCTGAATGGCTCCAGCAGGCTAGGAAAGCCGGCGGGGGGGTGGACAGAAGTTTCCCCCAAAACGTTTCAGGCGGTGGAAAGGCTGCGGGCATGGCCTGCCGAGCACTGAGATGGTCAACAGAGAAATGAAAGGCTCTGGCTCGTCTGCAGTTAACAGTGGAGGCTTTAGGACCCGAGTATCATCCCTTCTGGGTCTCACTTGGTCCCCCCACTTCCTCCACCAAGAATCTTCAGGGATCTGTACTTCTCTCAAAGAGGGAGCCCTCAGGAGAGGTGGGAGTCTCTCCCCGGTAACCATGGCCATCCGCTTGGCTGGCATGCTGCTAGCAAGCATTCCTGCTGAAAGGTGCATACTGTCCTCATCCCGTCGCCAGGCCCTGTGTCTCAGTGAGCAGAAACTACCACTCACTCCCCATGCCACCCTGCGAAGGGCTGTCGGCTATCCTTCTGCCAGCAGAAGTCCTCAACCAAAGCCCAGACTCAAGAGGCCACTGTGCACGCCACCCTCTGGGAAAAGGCCCAAGGAGTCTGATCGCAGACTTCCCTGGGAGGCACGGGGAGCCAGCGTTTCCTCAGACCCCACACCAGGTACCGTTCTACTCTCTCCTTCCCCATCTTACCAGAAGAGAGCCTGTCAAATCCCTGTCAGGGAAGGAGAGAGAGAGGCAGCTTTGGCTTTTGGAGAGACTGAGAAACAGGTGGGTCAGGAGGGAGTGGCTGAGCTACCCGGGCAGCCAGAGGTGGGGCATTGGGCAAGAAGAAAACACAGAAGACTTGTTCTCCTCAGTGGGCGTCTTCCCTGAGTTTGATTTTTGAGCTGAGGTCTTGCCTAATTTCAACTCAAAAAAGAAAGAAAGAAAGAAGAAAAGAATCATCTCTTGTCGACACATCATTAAGCTCTAGCTCCAAGAATGTGGCATCTGGCAGGGCAGGGGCAATCCAAGGCTCCCAACTCCATCGTCCTTGAGCCACACAGGCCTGAGAATCATGAGCCGGGAGCCTCCCTTCTCCACTGCCCCCCCCAACCCCCCACCGCCCCGGAACACAGCAACCATGGCCCCACGGTGAGACTCCAGCTCGAGTCCCGAACACTCAAGTACAGGCCCTCCTGCACAATACTTAACAGCAAACAGCTTTACAGTATTTGTACATTTACACAAAAATAGATCCTTTTATATATATATATATGTATTTATAACTGGTTACACGTTGGATTCATAATTAGGCATCACCAGTAGTAGTTGGCACAGTTTGTCATTTAAGCTCAGGGTCAAATTCGGTTTCATTTCGCCGCTCCAAAGCACAAAAAACAAAAACAAAACAAAACAAAAAGGATAAACAAAGGCATGTCATCTCCATGGTGTGTTCTTAAATACAGCAATGTCCTAGGAAAGCACATGTACGGATGAACAGTGCCTCCTGATCCCTCCTCCTGTCTCCTGAAGATAGGGGCCAGGCCTGAAGGAGACAGGGGTCAATGGGGCCGGCTGCTGGACTCGGACGGCTGCCTCTTGCGTGAAGGGATGTAGCCGTTGAGATAGCCATTGGTCTGCCGTTTGGAGAGCCCTCCGTTCAGGATGTCCTGAATGTGCTGCACAATGAGGTTGATGGCCACTGTGGGGCAAAGAGCGGCCACGTCAGGGACAGTGCGGGGAGAAGACAAGCCTTCTACCAGGGAACCCACCAGCTCCCCGTCCCAAGTAGCCTGATTCCCACAGAAGGCTCTTTCCTCTAAAGGAAATGTAATATGGGACTCTCTGTTCCTAGCGTGAGAAATAAATGATACATCTCAAGCAAGTGATTGATGGTAACATCACCAGACATGGAATAAACATCAAGTGCTCCCTGAGATGCTGCGAAGAACACGCAACACATCTCTCCTCCAGTATTCTCCCCAGCTTATATAAACTGGAATCCAATCACGGGGAAACAAAGATGAACCCAAATTGAGGGCCATTTTACAAAACAACAGGCCTATACTCCTCAAATCTGTCAAAGGAAACTATCAATCTTCACTTCCCTGAATGGCATGGCTGTTCCATGGCTATGAATGAAAATGCCCTTCTCTTTTTTAAGAAATACACGGTGAAGGGGCGCCTGGGGGGCTCAGTTGGTTGGGCATCCAACCCTTGGTTTCGGCTCAGGTCATGATCCCGGGGTCATGAGGTCGAGTCCCTCATTGGGCTCTACACTCAGTGGGGAGTCTGTCTGAAATTTTCTCTCTTCTCCCTCTGCCCCTCCCCCTTTCTCTCTCTCTAAAATAAATTAATTAAATCTTAAAAAAAAAAGAAAAGAAATACACAGTGAAATATTCATCGCTATGATGGGCTCTCAAATGGCTCAGCAAAAAAAAAAAAAAAAAATTAACTGTTTAAATGCAGGAAAATTGAAATTAATTTAAAAAAGAGAATGAGAAGGTAGGGACTTCTCACAGATCATGCCCCAGCCTGCCTCAGTCCAGAGGTACCCCTACTTCTCAGACAAGCCGAAACCAATAAATAAATGCAAACAGCTCCCTTTTGGAAAGGCTACCTTGATGGCAGGTCATTCTAAATTAAGAAGAAAATGTGCTTTTGCTAAAAGGTGGCCTTGGATGCAAGGCCCCAAGTGTCATCACTGGGAGGGACAGCAGAGGAGAGTCTCCAGCCCTTTGCTTTGTGCTAGAGAAGCATGAATTCCTGTTTGTCACCATGCCCATACACACGTATGCACAGGGGCCTGTTCCCAAGGCCAAACATGTAGGCAAAAATTCCTTTCTGGCTCCCAATAGCTGACCAGTGGTTCAGCCACATCCATGGAGCCTTGCTTGGTCACCACATCCTGTCCCAAAGTACGACTGACATAGGGTATAGGTTATGCCCCAGGGGATAACCCCCTACCCCCCAACCTGACCAGGACTCACCTAGATTATCTGCACCTCTAGGAATGATCACGTCAGCATATTTCTTTGTCTGTGGAGAAAGATATTCACAATTCATTAAAGAGGAGTTCCAGAGAAACTGGCCCAAGCCCCTCTTGAGGGGCCAGGAGGGAAGGGTCAGCCTCTCTACCACTGATCCCAGAGGGTGGCAGCTTGAGGCTGTGAACATAGTATTTTCTATCCCCTTTATCTCAATTACAATAAATCAGCTCTCTTGATTTCTCATTATTAATGCTTTAATACTGTTTAAGCTTATGACGTGCACAGAAAACGTGGTCTTTGAAACCAAACATTTAACTGCCTCCACCCTACTAAGAAAGATATGAATTAGAAAAACCCAAATCAAAAAGGGAAGTGGTCCACCTTGGACTTCTACAAACAGTCTGAAAGGTGACACCACTGATCTAACGCAAGGGTAAACCCAAGAAAGATAACCTCCCCCATGACCATTTTCATTGGCTCTGTTATCACACTTAAAAAAAAAAAAGTAAAGCCACAACTAGATACATTCCCTTTTTTGTCTTCTTATTTTACTGGGATTTTGTGGACCACTTTACAAATAACTGTATTCTGGTGTATGACCCAAGTTTAGGATAAGACCACATAAAAAAAAAATGGCTTCAGCACGTGAGCATCTTCTGTACTAGAACCATTCAAATGCAACTGTGTCAGGCCCAAACCCAACCTGAACTAGGCAGACAATTTATCAGATCCAAGCTCCTGGCTTTCCTTGAGCACAGAGTGGCTGGACAGTGGGAACAAGCAGAAACCACCCAGAAAACGTGCAGAATTTTAAGCTCCATTACAACTAAGTGAAACAGCAGAAAATTGGCAGTTAACTCTAATTTATGTCCAGTAAGTTTACCTTGAGCTATTATTAAGGTAAAAAGAGCAGGAGAAGTCCTCAGATGGATAGATGGATAGATAGAATTTCCTGGCTTCTCCACTCCCTCTGCCCTCTGCCCAGAAACCTAATCGTGTGACCCAATCCTCTCCAGGGGAATGACTAGGGCATCAGCGTTACTCAGGCTGACTCAGAAAGTCCACTTGTCCCCCATCTGAAACAAAAGTCTAGTCTGGTTTGACGCAAAACCTTCTAACAGACTTGAAGGAACAGATAGTTTGAGATCATACTTTTCCAGGAGAAAGACAAGTTCATTACTACAAGAAAGAGAGAAATTCCCACACTCAGCCTCACTCTGCTCTCGATGCCGTCAAGATTCCAGCCTCCCAAAAGAGATCACCCAAGTTCAGGCTAAGCCCCAATGTCTCCCCACTCCCACTTACAGCTTAATTATAAATCGTTAGGGAGTTAGACCATGGTGAGGCCAACGTGGTGAAGACACACGACACAGGTGCAGGCGTCTCAAACAACATCATCTCCTACGTCTTCCTCTAACCAGCCCCCCACCCCCACCACCACTCCGCACTTCTTGTCTCAGGTGGTCCTCCCTCAACACTCACCTGTCTGTCCCCAAGGAGCCGAGAGTGTTACCTGTGCTAAGGGCTGATTCACTAAACGCTGAAAATTCCCCATATCCCCAACCTTCCTTCTCTGAAAGCCACCTCCCCGGAGAGTTCCCAGCTGCCATAGGAGGAATGATGAACCTGAGCCAGGGCAGAAGTATGGAAGCTTATTCCAGCATGGCAGGATACTTCCCATAGGGGAACGTATCCAGGGGCCCAAGACAAGCTCAAAGGGGCGGGGAGGCTCAATGCAGTGGCAGAAGAGATTCAGAAGGAAATACCCTATTGCTGAGCCCTCCCTGCACCAATACTGCAACCATCACAGACCTTTTGAAGATCCAAATGGCTGAGTCTATGCTTAGGTATGGCACACCCTCACAGCCTGAGCCCACCAAGCAAGGAGTGCAGAACTTGCTGGAGTCAGAGAGCAGGACCCTGAAGGACCATTCTGACAAAGATGGTGACCTACAGCTCCCAGAGAACACAAAGCCTCAAAGGTTGCCCTTTCTTGGGACTGGAGGGAGGACAGGATCATTCAGAGAGGAATGAAATTCAGGCTGGGGGCTCCATCAACTTACATATCTTAACGTGTGCGATTCAGTTTTAAATTCTAAATTCAACAAAAAACAAACCAAGAACACAACTCACTGGCAAGCAGAATTCCTCAAAGGCAGGCTTGACGAACGTAATGTACTGAGATAAAATCTGCTCAAGGTCCCTCCCTCTTTCGCTGATGTCCCTTAATACTATAAGAAAAGGAAAAACAAGAATCAAGAAAATGGTGCATGAGCCAACACATGTCCGCCCTTCATGAGGCAGACCAGGCTCACATGGACTCCACAATTACTCTGGGATTCACAAGCCGGATTCCTGAGAGACTTGACCAAGAGCAGGTCAGCAGCAGCTTCAAGAAAAACAAGTTACATTTTTATTGCTATAGTCAAATTTGGCTATGACATAAGGATCTCTGAAGCAAAGGCTGTCCAGCCTCAGCCAACAGTCTTCTGGTTTCAAGCAGCATTTGACCCAAATAAATTTGCAGTGTGAACAACATAAAAAGCAGGACAGTCCTGCGGAGCTCGTAACAGGGAGTAGACGGGGCCCAGAGAGGTGGTGGGGCTCCCTGGCAAAGGAACCCCTTGCTCACCTGGATGCTGTCCCCTTGCACTTACCTGTGTGCAGTCCACTGACCTACTGCTGATGTGCCACCTTATCGTGCCTAGCTCCCCCCCACATTCCAGCCCCTATAGGGGTGGAGGGCAGGCAGAGGGTCCAGCTGTGGTCAGCCATTCCTGCTAACCTCAAGCACGGAGGCTTGCCAAATAGAAAACCACTTAGTGAAAGATGGCAATACCATGGTTTTGGAAATGGTGGGCTGGAGGTGTAAAGCCACCCGGATTGATCCACACTCACCATCTTCTACCTTCTTCATCTGGGACAGTGTCATTCAGGGACTTTCATCCAACACCTTTATTATTTTAATAGTCTTTTGTCAAAAATAAATAAATAAATAAAAACATAAAAGGGGTCTGACCATCTAAGGGATTGGAATCCTAGCTCTGCCACTCGGCACTAATGTCCCTGAGCCTCAGTTTCCCCCCAAACTCGGTAGTGAGTTTGGAAGGAGATTCTCTCCGTCCAAACAGTGCCTCCCTAACAGGTGTTGTAAATCTTAGTACCACGGCTGCTCAGTCTTCCAGCCCCACCTTGAAAGGGTACCCTGTCCATCAACAATCATTTGTGAAGGCCCCTTGGCTCCTCTCGACCACTGCTCAGGTTACAGACTGAGCAAGGGATGCACCTCACTGCAAACGAACTAGAGAACACTTGTGAGTGAATTTCTGGACAGCCACGTCTCTAGATAATTCCGTGCGTCCACACGCGCGCGCGCACACACGCACACACACGCATGCACGCAGGGGCAGGAAAGAGGGAGGCTGTTGTGGGTAGGATTCGGGCTGGCGTGCACTGTGAGGATTAGATGATTAGAAGACCACAGTCCAGAGCGTGAGGTGCTGCTGCTAGACCTCCTGACTCCTCCATCAGCCCCTCCATTTACAAGGAGCCTTCTCCACATGAACCCTGGCCTTTAATGCGCTGTCAGGACTTGCCTCACAGCCCCTCCCGGCCCCGGGGCTGGTGGACGTGCCTCCCCCAGCCGGGAAGCGGTGTTCTCGGGCATTCGGGTGCCAGGGAGACGGGGCCAAGGAGGAGGCCGAAGAGCCGCCACGTGGCTCACCCCCACAGGCCTCGGGAGCCCTAGCACGCCGGCTAGCAGGCTCCCCTGGGCCAAAACACACAGCCAGTGTGGCCTCCAATTTCTTCACGTCCCCAGATAAAGTACAAAGAAAAAAGGAAGCCAGGGCAAAGGGTATCAGAGCTGGGGGAAAAAACAAACACACGCCCGCACTCAGGCAGCCTTTACTTAAAAGCCCTGCAAAAGCCTGATGTGCTTGTTTCACAAGACATGCTTTTCACGCTCTCCCTCTGCCCTCGGCCCCAGGCCTGTGGCCCCCTTGTCACCTGTAGCCCCAACAGCTCCCCCCGCCAGGCCACTGCAGGAGGAGGGTGCCAGGGGGAAAAGCGCAGGGAGCAGGAGAGTCACACTGAGGCTGCTCCGGGGCCCAGAGCTACCCCTTGGCCTGCCATCGGGAGCAATGCAGGCAAAAGTGACCCGGGTTGGAATCCTGACCCCACTCATACCTCTGTGACTCTCATTTTCCTTAACTGTAAAATAGAGACATAATACACAGAGGCTTTCTCATCAAGTCGTTACTCTTCGGAATACAGGAGGAGGGACATGAAACTCTTCAGCGCTGTGGCTGGCGTATAGTATGCATTCAATAAACCTGAGTTTCTGCCACGGATTATCATGGTAACAGAATCTGGGAAGCTTCAGGAGAGGGGTGGCTCCCTGACAGAGCAGACCCCTGGAAGGGCAGCATCTGTGAGCTCAGGCGAGCCCAGGGGAACAGGGCAGACCCAGCCGAGAGCGGGGTCCCGCAGAACAGCAGGAAAGGTGGGAGTAGGGGGTGCAGTGTGGGAGGGACAGCAGGGCACAGACACATGGGAAGACACAGTGGGAGGGCGAACAGGGAAGACAGGGAGGAGCCATCCTACAGTTTCTACCCTGGAAAAGGAAAACAGCAAACGGGTGAGAATGTTGCCCAGACACTGGGAACGTGTAAAATCAAAAGGCATCCCCCCCCCACCTCTGCTCCCCAAGAGCCTTCCACTGAGTTATCACCTCAAACAGCCCGAGACCCCTCCTCGAGCCAAGGACAACACAAGGCCAGCCCATTCGCTGCACCTAAGTGCCTTGCTCCTCAGGCGAAGTCAGGAAATAGGGCCAAGCCAAGGACTGAGTCAGAACAAGGTCTTGGCACAAACCGGAAACTCCAGGGACTCAAAACCGGCTCCCTGATCATCACTCTGACCCAGCACATTTGCTTGGAAAGGAAAGGCCCTTTCAGAAGAGGGGGGAAAGGGCAGGAAACTACCCGTCTGCCCACCTTCCCTGCTTGGCTCTCACCGCCGCCCTTCCAAAGCCACCAGGGCTCCTCTGGTCAGCCAAAGCCAAGAACGAAATTTAGAAGGACCCAGAATAAATACGATTCCTCAATGGTTCAGCTGATTCACTTTAACAATTAGTCGAGGAAATGTGTTACTCTAGTAACAGAACAGACTATCTCAAGGTCCACTGCAGCCCTGAAGCTATGGGAACTGGACACAGAGAATTATAGCAGGAGAGAGAGTAGGTGTCGGCCCTCCTTGGTCCCGTCTCAGTTCTTCCCTGTCCCCGAATTGAAGGGTGGGTTGGAGTAAATAACACACACGGAGGGAAGGTGAAAGCTGGGAGAAACCAATACCCCCAAAGTATGAGGGGTTCCCATGACGGAGGTAAGTGTTCCAAGGCTGCATGGCTCAAAGGCAAATCCCCCGTGCCACATGATAGTCAACTCTGACCTCGAGGGTCACGGGTCACAAGCCCAGGAACTGTGACAGTGGAAGGGTAAAACCATGGCACTAACTCAAGTCTCCAGGACTGTTCTGAGGCCCAGCAGCTGCTCCTGACTAACCCACCACCCTCCCATCCCACAAAGCACATGCCAGGCATGTTTTCTGTCCTACGTGGACAGAGAATGAACTTGTAGAAGCTGCATGTGGAAAGGCCCCACAAGTCCACCAGAAAGTGACTCGCCAGCAGGTGACAGGAGAAGACAGAGGTTCTGAGAGGGAAAGCGGCCGGAGAAACCCCACAGAAAGCCACCATCACCTCCTGTCTCCTTCCCCCCAGCCGCCCTGTTTCGCACAATGATCCAAGTATAAGAGAGCAACGGAGAATTTTCCGTGTCATCGGTGCCATGATGATCTGTTTGAATTAGAGGCCAAGATCGTCTGATTTCCAAGGATTCTGAATTCTGTATTTCTCAAACTGGTTCTATTTTCCTGGGCCACGGCTTGCATACACTCCTCCCTCAAGCGTAACTGCACCGCCCGGGACTTCAGTACCATGTGCTGACCGAACAATGGGATCAGGCCGGTGTCCCAGCTCCTGAGGATGTGATGACAACTCAGAGGCTCTGACCAGTCCTGATGGAAAACTCAGGCAGAACATCTACCGTCTCAGGCAAAGCCTGATCTAACACACAGACTGTTACCAGCTAATGCACCACCAGGCATTTAACCTGCATTACGGCTCATCCTCACAACCCAGGGATACTGATCAATATGTAATCAACCAACTCGAGTATCCCTATTTATGAAGTACAAAGAGGTAACAACATAACCTGCCCGAGGTCACACATCTACTAAATGGTGAAATCAGGATTTAAGTCCAGTTCATCTGACTCCAATTTCTCCCCAGGTGCGTCATGCTGCCTCCCTGATTCGACAGACCAATGGGGACATCGAGTAGATCAACCACGGCAGGACCTGGGTCTGGGGACTAAGGTGATAAGCCAGGTTCTGGGGCAGATGCATGAGGGACTATCAGGCTCGGGCCTCGATTATCTATTAAAAAAGACCATGCAACTCTTTCCTGGCCAAAGTCATGACCCTAAAAATAGTCCTGTTTCCTTCATCTTACCCATAAAGAAACCCAAGCCTGGGAGGTCACACGAGTCCCAAGAGCCACCAAAGTCACAAAGCTAGCCGGAGGCTTTGGGACTAGAATTTGGGCCTCCCACTCTCCTTTCTTCCATCGAGGAGTTCTACCCCTCCCCCACCCCACCTGGGAGTAGAGTGTAACAACAATTCACTTAATAGCGTGCAGACACTACTCCTTGGGAGGACAAAACCCAGGGACTCGTTTCTCTATATTCTGCTGGTTCCATTTATAGTTCTTGCAAAGAGAGGATGTTTAAGTGGATAAACCACAAATCTGTCATGAACTGAGAAGAGAAAACGTCACAGGATTTGAGGTCAGAAGGCTCTGGGCTGGAACTTATGAAATTCCAATCTGCCCATGATTTGCTCTGTGACTAGGAGCCACCTTGTCACTCCCGGGGTCTCGTTCCTCTTCCACGCAACGGGGACTCGAAGCCTGGCTCACTTTCCTCACCTTCTGTTGCTCTCTTCCTCGCCCCCACCCCTATGGCCCCCACCGGGCGGGGGGCAGTTGTCATTCTCTGGCTCTGCTGGTACCTTCTCACCACTGCCACCTCCTACAGCAGCCCTACCTGCAGTCTTCACTTCTACTCCCTCCATCAGAGTCATCTCCCAACAGAGAGCTGAGGCCCTTTCACCTGCCCTGCTCAAAACCCCTTGGTAGCTCACCTTCGTGACCAGGGTCCAAATGGGAAGGCACAGTCCCCATAATCTGCCTCAAGCAATTTCCAGCATCTCTTCGGACAGCCCTCTAGGAACTCCAGCCCCCTGCTTCCCGGAACAAGCCCAATGTGTCTGTATCTGCACCGTGTAATTTCTTGGGTGGTCTGTCATCACCCTACCCCATCCCCCATGAAGCCTCCTGATCCCCATGGTGCGGGGGGGTTCCACTCCATGTCCTGCAGGGCTGAATTCACGGGCTCCACTCCCCACCGAAGGGCAGCTGTCCCTGAGGACACCAGGCACGGGGACCTGCACAGGCACACCCCCAGTCAGGCCTACAGCAGGAAGGGCCGAGCGACTTTGCTCCGCGGCTGGCTGGACAGAGTCACCAAACCTCCACAGAGCTTTCTGGAAAATAAAGGGCTAGAGAAGTGGGCTGGTGGGACAAGCTGCCCAGTGCTGCAGGCACTAGGTTCCTGCCCCCAGACATCCTAGTTAGTTCCTGTCTTGATTATGATGCCTGTGGGAAAACCATAAAGGACTGGGCATTTAATCACACTTTTCTCCAGCAAAACCACAATGTAAACTTCTGATTTCATCTCCGTGACCTCACAGGCCTTTCGTTACCCAACACAGTGACTAACCCCTTCTCAGATGTCACCAAGTGTTTGAGAAGCAGGACATCCTTGGGCTGAACTGACTCAGCTGGACTGGGCCACCAACAGGGCCAATGGAGGCTTTTAGAACACACCTCTGCGGGAGAGCCGGGTGTCCGCATCTGTGTCCACAAAAAGCTTCATCTGGAAGAGGTCTCGCACCTCCTGGGAGTAGAAGGCCAGGATCCCTTCAAAGAGCACCACATCCGCGGGGTAGACAGTAACCGTCTCCTCCTTCCTGCAAAGCACAGAGCAGATGATGGGCCAAACCAGGCAGAGTGAGCAAAGGGAGGACGACAGCAGTGTCTGTCTGGGAGTCTGGGGCCCCCTCCCTGTAGACCTACAGCAGAACCGAAAGGGGGAGCTATAACGCAGCCTTGCAGGGCCCTCGGACCACCACTGAAGACCGACCAAAGGGCCATCACGACTGGGGCCAAGGTCTCTGACCAGCTCTTCTGAGCTCTCACCATAAAAAGAGAAGACAGTCATCTCTCTCCTTGGGATTAAAAAAAAAAAACATGCTGTTGAACACACAATGGAGACAGACAGAAGCAGATGTGATTTCTTCTTCTCTCTGGGGGCGTCTCCGGGAATGCTCTCAGGCCCGGCATTTATGGAGGCTAACACTGAACTTTCACAAACAGAAACTCACAGTCTTCTCCCAACAGCCCCACCCCCTCCCCTTGTCCGGAGGCAACTGAAGGAGGCGGGAAGAGATGGGAGAGGAGGCGGGAAAAGGAAGTTGCGGAGAAGAAGAGAGAGAGGGGAGGAAGCATTCTACAGGGAAGGAAAGCGTCCCGAGCTCCGTCTGGTCTGGTCTGGCTCGGGCATGAGCAGCACTGTGGCTGTGGGTCTGGGCCTGGAGGCCCTCCCCCTCCTCCTCAGTGAGGCAGGGGTGCGCACTACCTCCCCATCTGCCCCACAGGGTCGCCATCTGCTTCGGTCCTAACCATCCTCTACTGCCTCTTGATCAAGTCACTGAAAGGAAGGTAATAGTTTCCCCTGCAAGGTTTACTACTCAGGCGGACATTGAGGAATTAAACCAAATAAAACATTTTTTTTAAGGTTCCTTAAGACAATGGGTTTATCTGTGCAAACACGGGGACATCAGCAGCTGCCCATGCAAGAGGATGCACTGAACTTCCCTCCCATAAACACTCTTTGATTCCTTATTAGCTCAGACCCTTGGGTTCCTGTCTAAGTTCTAAGGCAGGCACTGCTGGAGCAACTACCAAGTGGCAGAACATGAGGCATAAAAGATAACAGAAGAGGACCAGGTGAGTATGATGACACTTCTAGAGCAATGATGGAACTCTGGATGCACACAGAACCGTCTGGGGAGCTTTAAACAAATATGTATGCCTGGAGGCATCTGGGTGGCTCAGTCGGTTTGGACTTGGTTTTGGCTCAGGTCGTGATCTCAGGGTTGTGAGACTGAGCCTCTGCGCTGAGCATGGAGTCTGCTTAAGATTCTCCCTCTCCTTGGGGCGCCTGGGTGGCTCAGTTGGTTAAGCGACTGCCTTCGGCTCAGGTCATGATCCCGGAGTCCCGGGATCGAGTCCCGCATCGGGCTCCCTGCTCAGCAGGGAGTCTGCTTCTCCCTCTGACCCAACCCCCTCTCATGCTCTCTCTCTCTCTTTCTCTCACATAAAAAAAAAAAAAAAAAAGATTCTCCCTCTCCCTCTGCACCCCCTGCCCCCACCGCACATGGGTGCGCGTACTCTCTCTCTCAAATAAATAAAATCTTAAAAAAAAAAATGTATGCCTGGGGCGCCTCGGTCAGTTAAGCGTCTGCCTTTGGCCCAGGTCATGATCTCAGGGTCCTGGGATCAAGTCCCACATCAGGCTCCCTGCTCAGCGGGGAGCCTGCTTCTCCCTCTCCCTCTGCTGCTCCCCCTGCTTGTGCGCTCTTTGTCAAATAAGTAAATAAAATCTTTAAAAGAAAAAAAATGTATAGTTGGGCCCTACCCCTCAGGGCTCTGATTTCATTTGCCTGGGGTAGAGTCAGAGCGCTAGTATTTTATAAAACCGCCCCGGGTGTTTCTAACATGCGGCCAGTGGTGAGGAGCACCAGTCTGGAGGAATGTCAGCTACCAGAAAACAGGGTGCCCACTGTGGTTTAAGATAAAGAACCCAACTGGACAGAGCTCAGAAGGGAAATGGGCTAGAAAAAAGGATCAGTGAGTGAGTAAAATTATGAGCTGCTGTAGGCAACTGCCCTACATGAAGGAGGGTGGAAAAGTCTCTGCCAGGAAATGGAGAATGTTTCCGTTTTCGTGGGGGAGGGGAAACTCCCAGGGCTCCGTCTGGAAAACACTCTACCGGAGAGCACTGTGACTGTGCTAGGTGTACGTGTGCTCACATCACAATCAGGACACCTAGCTGGTGAGCATGAACAAGGAACAGGTGGTTTTCCAACTCAACAAACACGCCTCTTCAATCCTGGGAAAGCAAGGAGAATGCTGTCCGTGCCCCAAGAAGCTGGGATCGATCCCTTTCCAAGTGCACATGTACATCTAGGGAGGAGAACCCTTCAAAACAGCCCAGAGCTAAAAACAACATCGATTGAGCAACTACCAGCCCAGAACACGAGAGGAGCCACACTTGGTGCAATATTCCGTGGAGAAGTTCAGAGTCTGGCTGGCAAGTCCACATAAGACACCGAGACAATTAGAGCATTTGAGATAACCTGAACCCAAGCTTCTCGTCTGGCTTATGAGGAGGGGCAAGGCCAGAGAAGGGTATTTAACAGCAAACAAGAGTCTTCTCTGTCTTAGTCCAACATCTGTTTGTATGTCACCATGAAAGGCCCGTGGATGGGTCGGGAGCAGTAAACTCTTAACAGCTGGGTTCCTAACGAGTGGCCCTTGAGAGCTGAGGGACTGCTGTGGCCAAAAGTGGTCAGGCAGAGTTTCACAAAGAAATGGGCTGTGGGCCACTAAAGAATAAGGCTATAAAATATATGGTTGCAAAGGAATTGGGGCAGGGGGTGAATCACATCTGGATGGGGAATTCTGCTGGGGTTTCAGTGGTTAATCCATGACCCTGATGGAGCTCATGCTGCACATGCTACCCCCTCCCCCCACCACCTCCTCCATCTGGTCAGGTCCTGCCTCCTGCCAACCACCCGGATTTCCGCCGCCTGACCTCAGGCCCTCAGGAGTCTCTCGCCTGGGCTACGACTCCAAGGGCTTCATAAATAGCATCGTGGATCCTCTCTTCCTGCCACCAGAATGATCTGCTCCCACGTAACAGCCGTCTGTGACTCCCTACTGTCAACACGTTCGCGCTCTGGCCCTGGCATCCCCAGCCTCTCCTCTCTGGGGCCTGCCTGCCTCCCAGCCACTCTTCCTGCACACTCACCCCCATCCCGCCACTCCTAACCAGCTGCGATTCCCTACCAAGCTCGTCCCTGAAATGCTTCCTACCCGTTACCTTGAAAATCCCCTCCCCCAACGACTTCTTATGCTTTCCAACATACAGCTTAAAGATCACCTCCTCTATACAACCTGCTCTAAATACTCCAGCCCTTCCTTCCTCCCTCCTTCACACTCCTCCATAGGCCCTTACTTTAGTTGTCAGCTGCATTTTAATTCTGAGGCAGTGCCCGGCCCTGGACCTGAGAGCTGGTGGGCTCCCTTGTGTCTCTTGTGGACAAGACATCACCACCACTCCCTGCTAAGGCTAGAAACTACAATTCCCAGAATCCTTTTCCCTCCGGGGTCCCAGGGTCCTTTGCCAATGGGAAATGTAGAAGATGAAACAAAACGCAACTAATTTTTAGGAGACCTTAATAGCCACACAAGGCAACTTTGCAGCCACTCCGCAAGTCGCCCCCCTTGGAGGCTAGGGCTCAGATGTGGCAGCTTCTTGAACTCGCCATGGACCCTAGACCCTTAGACTACAGCCTCTCGGATCTTAGCTCTCCCAGCACCCCCAGCCCCCAACACTCTTAAAAGCTCCAATTCCTGTACTAAGCCCCTTTATTCCTGCACGGTCTATGGTGGTTTGAGGCTGGAGGTGCATCTTGTTCTTTGAGTTTTTGGCACAGTAGCATCTGGTCCATAGTAGGACACGCTTCAGAAGATACTGGTGAGGGATGAAGGCTAGGCACTAAGCAGCCTGGCTTTCCAGCACAATGTGTTCACTCTCTTCCTCCTCCAACCAATCTCTGCCACACCCTCAAGTTCTGGGAAAGGCACAGAACATGTGAGGGATCCGGCATCAAAGGCTGGCTGAGATGTGTACTCAAGGAACACACAGGGAGATAAAGATGGGCTTTTAATTACAGAGGCATTTGGTACTAAAAGATGCATGAAATCTAATTTCCCATTTAAAAAAAAAAAAATTCCACTCGAGAGAATGAAAGAAAGGAACCAAGAGGTAAGGATGAAAGGCAGATGGGAGAAAACTTTCAAAACAGCGCAGGGCTGAAAACACCACTTACTGAGCAATTACTAGCCCAGAATAAGGAGCAGCTACGTGTGCTTTAAATGCCATTCAGAAGTTTAGAGGCTGCCTGGGAAGTCCCCAAGGAGACAGAGCGAGCAGAGAGTCCCGGGAGGCTCGAGGGAACTTTGGATGCCTGGCCAGCAGGCGTGAAGTCCTCTAGGAGCCTTGGGCAACCACTCAGAGGGAAAGAAGATGAGCCCCTCCTCTAGACCTAATCAGGAGCATGAACACAGATCAGCAGAAAGGACACGACCGACCGAGAAACTCTCCTGGGAGTTGAACGGCTGCTCTCTGGTGACCTCAGCGCCCTCACAGCTCTCTGCCCAGTCCAACCAGGAGAGAAGAAAGAACAGTTTTCTTTGTTCTTCTTCCTGTGTCCTCTGCCCGGCCCCTTTACATCTTATTCTGGGAAAAACCGCTCAGGGCTGTGAATCAGGACAAGTGTAGAGTCCCTCACCCGAGCTCCAATTCATGAACTTGTCCTTTCAGAGTTAGCAAAACGTGATGAGCAGACGACTGTTCCAGGAAGCGCCAGGTAAACTCCCCAACCCGTGCACACCCGCAGCACACGCTGCTGCCGCTCACACAGACGGCCGTGGGCACAGGGGAGGGGAGGACACAGCCTGCTGCCTGGGAAACCGGACTGCTCTGGGAGCTGCGAGGAGCAACGCCCAGCCCCCAAAAGCTCACTTACCGGGAATGGGAGACAAAGTCATACACGGGAATCTGCACCGTCTTCCCTTCGGTGATTTCTTTGAGTGTTTTGAAGATGAGTTCATTGTCAAAGGCATCTGAAGGAAATCAGACTGTTAAAATGCTGCTGAATTTTGGGCACCTGGGTGGCTCAGTTGGTTAAGCGACTGCCTTCGGCTCAGGTCATGATCCTGGAGTCCCGGGATCGAGTCCCACGTCAGGGTCCCTGCTCAGCGGGGAGTCTGCTTCTCTCTCTGACCCTCTTCCCTCTCATGCTCTCTATCTCTCATTCTCTCTCTCTCAAATGGGTAAATAAAATCTTTTAAAAAAAAAATCCTGCTGAATTTTAAAATGATTTCTCCTATAATCATCCACATCTATTTCCTGGACGTATACCCCACCCTAGAGGAGCCCCCACCGAAAAAACCCAAATCTCTACCCAAAGCAGAAGGTAAACTCCCTGGATCTCAAAATAGAATGTATGAATGCATTCCAAGAAACTCACTTCTTTTTTCTACCTTTCTATCCACCCTTGGCCTCAGCCACCGCTCTCCCCCCAAGTTCAGCTGCTGTCTTGGGAGCTGGAATACGTTAACCCAGAAAGCATACACACAACTCGGGGAGCCGTAAGGGGCACCAAGTTTTGATTCCAACAGTTGTAAGAACCAAAACCAAGGATGCCTGGGTGGCTCAGTCGGTTAAGCGTCTGCCTTCAGCTCAGGTCATGAGATCCCAGAGACCTGGGATTGAGCCCCACATGGGGCTCCCTGCTCAGCGGGGAGCCTGCTTCTCCCTCTGCCTGCCGCTCCCCCAGCTTGTACTCTCTCTCTCTCTGACAAAAAAACAGAATCTTAAAAAAAAAAAAAAGAACCAAAACCAGCTAAAGGGCAATGTGCTGATCTGGGACTGTCAAGGTAAACGTCACGCAGGCAGACATCCTGGACCCTCCACTGTCCTTTCCGCCAGTCAGTGAGTTTCACACCCTGCCATGTGCACACATGTGTGGGAAGGGGGGGTGGGGGCGCGGGCTGCTTCAGATCAGAGGAGGCAGAAGAACCAGCTCTGTTTGTGCTGTCCTATGTCTGGCCAATCTCAAGCAACAGGCTCACAAGGAGTCACCCTCGTTCAGATGCAGATTCAATCCATATTTTACTGAGCCATGCAACTGTGAAATGTGTTTCAAAATTCTTTCTTGAGGCCCCACCATAACCCTGCAAGGTATTTATACATCCCCCATTTTATCGATAGAAACAGATTCCAAGAGGTCAAACAATTTTCTCAGTGAGCACACACACACACACATACACATACCCCCCCACACACACCCACCCTCAACTCCTGACTCACCCGGGTGATCAAAATTGAACTGGCCCTTCAGGGCTTTGGCCTTCTGCTCCGACGTAAGGACGCGGTAGAAGCTGTCCTGGCTCAGGATGACCACCTGTTTCTGGCGACAGTCCACCTCATTCTGTCCCAGGAGCTGCACAATCTTAGCACAGACGGAAGACTGTAGGAGAGAACGAACGCCGAGGATTAAAGGGGCATGCAGAGTTGCTCACAGATGCACACGCCCTGTACCAGGGCCCTCTGGAAGGAAGAATCCAGAGGCTACCATCTTGTACGATGGGGGCTACCATCTTGTATGATGGATTAGAAGCCTGAAGGAGAAAGTCGGCTGAGTGGGGGGTGTCCCACAGTCTCTTCCTCCCTTCCTAAACACAGTTTACTACTCGCAGGTGTCTGCAGGGGCCACAGGGGGAGGAGGGCAGTAACTTCTACCTCCTCTTCTGTAAAGTCTCTCCTAAAGCTACTAATACAAAGGAACACAAATTTATTTATCCCTGCTCGTGCCCTGGTATAGACACTCACAAAACAGCAGAAAGTAGAAAAGAAGACACACTGATGATGTTGCTGATGGCTCAAAGGGCTCTGGGTCACGAAGTGACAGAGCACACATGTGGAATCAAAAACCCGGGCCAGAGAACTCGGCCAGTTAGCAGGAAGGCCAAGGTCATGGCTTTCGTCCTACTTCCGTGGCTTACTTTTGCTCTAGTGCCTCGCCATGGACTTGTTCACACTCACACTCATGGTAAGCCTCGTGGCCGCTTCACAAATACGCACCACCACCTATGAGCTGGAGTGACATGGGACACAAAACATGACCAACCCCTAAACCAACATGGGGTATCCCTGCCGCGAAGGGGACAGCCGGTTCCAGATGAACTCAAACCTACACGCTTTGTGTCGTGTTGTCAGCAATACACATATCTACCTGTGATGCTGTGAAAATAGGAAATACCGTATTTAGTCCTCCTTGCATTTCTGGCACAGAGTTCTTAAAACCCTTGAATTCCCTAAGTGAGGGGAGCAGTGCACCGGACTTTGCTATGTGAAGGAGGCGGCCTCTGAAAAGTACCTAAGGATAGGGGCTGGTTGCCAGGGGAACCAGCCTGGTGAGGAGCAGGTTAGAACTTTCCATCCTGACCTCCAGGGAGGGGAGGCAGAGGGGAGGAGGGGGAGGCTGAGTCAGGGGCCAACAACAACGATATAACCAGAAATGCGTATGTCATAAAGCGTCCACACAAACCCAAACGGATGAGGTTTGTTGAGCCTTCTGGTTGGTGAACGCGTGGAAATGGGACAGTGGCCCGCTCGGAGAGCACGGTAACTCCACTCCTCTTCACACCTGCGCCTACAAGGCATCTCTTCCACCTGGCCGGTCCTGCCTTATATCCTTTTATAATCGACCATTAACCTCGTAAGTAAAATGTCTTGAGTTCTGTGAGCTGCTCTAGCAAATTAATCAAACCTAAGGAAGGAGCAGCTGGAACCTTCAATCTTTGGCCAGCCAGTAAACATAGGTGACAACAGGTGTTTCGATGGACACCTGACGGCAGGGCAGAGGGGGTGGGGGGCGGTCTCACGGGACTGAGCCCTACCTGTGCGGCCTGAGCCTATCTCCAGGTAGTGTCAGAATTACTGGGGTGAATTCTCAGATACCCTGCTCGTGTCCGAGAAATGCATGTTGATGTGTGGAAGGCCCCCCCCACACACACACACACTGGAATTGCAATTGGGTACAGAACCTAAAATCTACCTCAGTGCACTCAAAAGAATGAGAGAGTGAAGGACAGTAGTTACCAAATTAACTCATTCCTTTTTTTCACTGTATACAGATTAATTTAAAAATAAGAATGCCTACATTACGAAAACCCTACAAGCCACAGCCAAGCCTCCTTATGGAGCTGGCTGACCTAATTACAAGAGATGAAAAGAGTGGCATAGTTAGAGATTTCTTGGGCTCAGTCTTGGGAGCTTGCTTCACTATCGAACTTACTTTACCAACTGGTTTTAATAAGGAAAAACCAGGACACTTTAGAAGTTCCATTTCTCATAAGCTCCGTATTTGATTTGTCCAAGCATAAGGAAAACTGGACATTCCTGTTGCCCTAGTCAATCCACATCAAACTATTTTGCACAGTATTTCCTGTTGCACAAATTGTGACACACAACCAAATAAGGATCTTTGGAGGGGGGTGCCTGGGTGGCTCAGACGGTTAAGCGTCTGCCTTCGGCTCAGGTCATGATCGCAGGGTCCTGGGATCGAGCCCCACATCAGGCTCCCTGCTCAGCAGGGAGCCTGCTTCTGCCTCTGCCTGCTGCTTCCTCTGCTTGTGCTCTCTCTCTGTCAAAAAATAAAAAAAATTAAGGATCTTTGGAGGAACAATATTTTGACTCAATTGCTAATTATTTTGAAAACTATTGGGACACCTTGGTGGCTCAGTTGGTTAAGCATCTGCCTCCAGCTCAAGTCATGATCCCAGGGTCCTGGGATCGAGCCCCGTGTCGGGCTCCCTGCTCAGCGGGGAGCCTACCTTCTCCCTCTGCTTGTGCTTGTGCTCTCTCTGTCAAATAAATAAAATCTTAAAAAAAAAAAAAAGAAAACTATTTTACTTTTCTGACATTTTCACATACTATCAGAAAAGCATTTAAAACAGGATTTTTGGAACAGCACCTATTCCGGGAAAAGATCACAGAAAATCATAGAAAGGTAAAACTTGCACAAGACAAGCTAGTTTCAAAAATGAAAATACCACAACAGAATCAAAGCCTCTAAACAATTATAAATAATACATTTTTAAACAGGTACAAGCTCATCATTTCCTTTTCCTAACTTACATCCGTTTCTTACATCCTAAGGCTATGCAGGGTAAAGTCTACACCTATAGCTTTTATTAGAAGACAGAACAAAAATGAAGAGGGCTTCATGGAGCCAAATGTATTTAATCTACTTGATTATTCAAAAAGTGGTATTTTTTACTTCTAGTTAAAACCCATTAAACGTTCTTTAGAAAAAATATGAGTAGCAATCTCGCTACTACCAAAAACCGTGTATATAATAGAAGTTACATTAGCTAATTTTGCAGGTAAACAATCATTTCCCTTCACTCAGGTACAACCTAGGACAAATGGATATAATGGCCAATAAAACCAGGTTAATGAGCACATTTAGAAAGCCAGTGTTCATCACCATTTCTTATCAAGGATAAAGTCTTTGGGCTGTTTTGTTGGTCCACAGCTGTTATGTCTTGGTTCCATGTTTTCATGGGCCTGTTTGGTGATCCTACTTTCTACAAACACACCACCACCACCTAGAACAAATTTTATTAAAGTCAGGCCCTAGGCTAAGTGCTCCACGACAACCACCCTTATAAGTCACAAGTGCTGTCCTTCCCAGATGTGGAAACCGGGTGAAATGACTTGCCTACAATCCTGCTTCCTTTCGTCCTCAACCTATGGGGTAGTCAGAAGTCCCAAGGCAGAAATCCTTTATCATAAAGATAAACACCACTGCGTGAACAAGCAAAGAAACACCTGTCTCCAGGTTAGTCTAGACTTTTCCAGTATTTTCTTCCTCCTGGAACTTGTCAAAAATGGCCTCTAAAAAATCTAGACAGCTGTTGAATTGGGGGCAACAGGTATACAGGAGTTCGTTATACTATTCCTCTACTTGAGGAGAGGTTTGAATTTTCACGAGATCGGGAGGAAGGAGCCCTACAGGGACTCCCTGGTGCCATGACCGAATGGTCTTTGCCTTATTTAATGTCCTCTTCTTAGGTCTCTTTCACATTAATTTCCCTTTCCCCTAATCCCGCCCTCTTCAAAAGGATGAACTGGAACTCCAATGTGTCTCGTTCGCTCAAGAAAAGAAATAAGGTATTAATGACTAGGGTTGGAGAAGGCAGACAGTCGTGAGCTTACAGAAAATGCCAAGAGTGGGCAAGGGTGCAATCGGTGTGATGGGCTAAGATTTAAAATAATTATGTCACAGGAAGACAAAAGCTGTAGGATTCCAGTTAAAGAAGGTATCTAGAATAGTCAAATTCTCAGAAACAGAGTAGAATAGAGGTTGCCAGGGGCTGGGGAAGGGGAGGAAGTGGGGAGGTGTTCAATGGATATAGTTTCACTTTTACATGATGAAAAAGTTTAGGAGATTGGTTGCCCAACGATGTACTTAATACTACAGAACTGTACTCCTAAATACGGCTAAGGTGGTGAATGTCACCAAACGTGTGGATTACCACAATTAAAAGCGAGCATTATTATTATAAGAAGAGCAAAATGGGCAGTTTCTTCCTAGATGGTACTCGGCTCAGTATTTTAAAATGATCTCACTTGTTTATGGCTACCCTCTGTGACGGAAAGGATTATCAATACCCACTCCAATGACAGCAAGACTGTCATGAAGACAGGTTAAATGACTTGCACAGGGCACGGGTGGTAGGGCTAGGACTCAACCCTAGTGGTCCAAACCCCAGAGCTTACCCCCTCACTGGCTGCACCCCACAGGCAAACATCTACTGCCTACTGGAGCTGGAGCTGAGCTTAGTTTATGTGGTATCTCCATATTCAGTGCAACGTATCCAGAGTATATTCTGTTCCTGACACTTCTAGAACATTTTTCTAGAGGTGGGGAGGTGGAAAATAAGCCAGCTAGGACTGTGGGTTGCTGTCTGAATATGAAGTGAAGTCCAGGTCAACATGGGGTTAACTTTAGAAAAGTGTGAGTATATGTATGTATACACACACACGTACCGACACACACATATCTGTGAAGGGGATTTACAATTTCTATCACCTGTATGGCATTTGAAGACACCATCTCCTTTAACTCCATTACAACAAGATGTTACTATTTTATCTCTTTTTTATCTAATGAGGAACCTGAAGCTTAGAGTCCATCAGTTAAATGCCTAGTTCAAGGTCCCAGAGCTGAATCTCAAAACCATAGCTCTTCTAACTTCAAATGCCCAATTCTTTTCACTATTCCAGAACCAAAGCCCCGATATTCTCCATGAACAGACTCTACTTCCAGAGATCAGCGATGGGGGAAAGGAGACACGGAGGGAAGTGGTTAGGAATATAACACAGCTCTGTCCCACAGCATCATGAGACAATATAATGGTAAATGTCACAGAATATCAGAGAACTAAAGGCAGGCCAAGG